ATCATTCCTTTTATCCTTGGAAGGTTCCAACAATACGAGTCTGTTCTTCCCCACTACCCTGGACGACCCTTCTCGCTGCCTCCTTCTTAACCCCACTTTTTATGCCATTGCAGTGTATATTGACGGTTGTAATTTCTCTGATGGTGTCAGGTTTGCAGCAGTGTTCCCAGATAGTGTTGTGTGAGGTCATTTATTACACTCAGCTAGCATTTTCACAACTGAACTGTATGCAGTTCTCATTGCGATTGCATGTATCGCGTCCAGACCTTCTTCAACATTGGTGGTAGCTTCAGACTTCTCAAGTGCTTCATCAGCTATCAAAACAAAATAATTTGCCTCATCCCCTAGTTTTTTCGTTTATAGCTTTGGTTGCACTGCATTTCTAGCAAAAACAAAAAAATAATTTTTCTGCTGTATCCCTAATCATGTGGATGTTCAGAGCAGCTAGCAGGCAGACTGCTGCATGGTCAGCTAGCAGGCAGACTGCTGCATGGTCAGCTAGCTGTACATGACCTTCACATTTCATGTATTCGGTTCTCAGACTAATTTGCTGTAATCTATAGCCAACGTCACAACCGTTGGGAGTAACATTGTTCTGAGATGATTCAAAACAAATTATAGTCTATTAAGCTGTGTTTAGGATTCTGGTCTTATCATAGATGTTGTGGTTGGAGACCATGTTCTCCCATCTTGGCACCTGGCATACATGTCTCACTCATGGGTATCTCATGGAGAGGCACCCAGTGCCACTCTGTGAGAACTGTCAAGTTCCAATGTCAAGTTTGGCATATTCTTTTGAATATGCTGTCTACCAGTGGGCAGGCAGAATTTACCTCCAATACTATCACTGCTCTAACATCCTTACTTTATCTTCCCTCTTCGCTAATGGCCTCACTTTTGACACAGACTCTCTTTGACTTTTTGTCAGCAACAGCTTCATTTCACTAACTTTATTTATATACACCTACCATCCGACTTACGACCTGCTCGACTTACGACCACTCGACTTACGACCACTCGACTTACAACCGTGTTTTTTATGCCAAATTTCTGGGAAATAAACAACTATTTGTGTTGTACACAGTGTTTATCCTAAACCTTACAGTATAAAATACAGTACTAACAACATAAAAAGTAAAGTAAAACATGAAATACCAAAATAAAACAAAATAAAGTCATTACAAAAATATTTTGTTGATATTCAGTAGTAAAGTTCAACTTATGACCATTTCGACTTACGACCGGTTTCTCGGAACCGAACTCGGTCGTAAATCGGATGGTAAGTGTACACTTCCATTAGCACTCCTCACCCTCCTTCCTAACTTCACCTCTGTTATTCTCTTCACCCTTGTTGACCTCTGATCAGGTATATTACACCTAAATTACTGGGAACAGTTGAAGTCCCTTGATTTGTATTCCCTGGAATGCAGACGAGAAAGATACACAATAATATAGACTTGGAAATCCTAGAGGGATTAGTACCAAACTTGCACACAAAAATCACTCCTTACGAAAGCAAAAGACTTGGCACGAGATGCAACATTCCCCCAATGGAAAGCAGGGGCGCCACGAGTACACTAAGAGACAGCACAGGAAGTGTCAGGGACCCAAGACTGTTCAACTGCCTCCCAGCAAACATAAGGGGGATTATCAATAGACTCCTGGCTGTCTTCAAGAAGGCACTGGACAGGCACCTAAAGCCAATACCTAATCAGCCGAGTTGTGGTTCATATGTCAGTTTACGTGTGGCCTGCAGTAACAGCCTGGTTGGTCAGACCCAGCTCCACCATGAGGCCTGGTCTCAGACCAAGCCATGGGAGTGTTGACCCCCCAAAACCCTACCCTGCAGCATTGTATGACCGTTATGGGTTTATCATTTGGTTATGATTATAATCATGGCATGAGAGAATCTTGCAACCTCTGCTTGTTTGTAAGATATACAGCATGGTTCTTCATAGTTTGGAGTCAAATTTCACCCCAAAGATATCAACTTCATCCCCAGGTACCAACCTCTCCCACTCATTCTTACCACTGCTCCAGCATTACCATCATGGTGCCTAGAGACCATCATTATTTGTGTTTTGTCAGGAACAAATGTGACCTGCCATCGTTTTTCCCAGGCTGATATTGCTATAAGTCGGTGACTGATGTAACTGAGAGCAGTTGGCATTTCCTCTCTTGGATACGTAAATGTTAGAGTACAGTCATCTGTTTATGCATGGGAGTCTGGGATGAATTGAAGGTCACTTCCTTGTGCAACACTGGTACCAGTAATACCACTAGTACACCTCTCTGTGGAACACTTACACCAGTGGTACCAATAGTACACTGTAATAAAGTTGGTAGAATTACCGACAATATGTAAAGTAAAAGGACACAAGTGCAACTAATGTGACATTTTATTGTGGCAACGTTTCGCTCTCCAGGAGCTTTATCAAGCTTGATAAAGCTCCTGGAGAGTGAAACGTTGCCACAATAAAATGTCACATTAGTCAATAGTACACTGCCTCGTGGGACAATGGCACTAATAGAATGTCTTATTCACTGTCCTGTTGAGAACTACTCTTAGAGATCTGCCTTGAAGGTAATCACTGAGGAGGTATAGTGCAGAGCCAGCGACTCCAAGTGCTTCCAGTTTAGCTAAGAGTTCCTGGTACCATATTCAGTCGAAAGCACCAGCAATGTCCAGTGCTACCACACAGCTGATCTTGGTGCCACCTACTGGAGAGGTTTTTCAGCAGATCCGCAGCAGTGTGACCTATACTGTGACCAAATTGACGATCAGAAAGAAGTGAGTGGTAGTCGAAAAATGCTGTCATCTGCCTTGATATTATTGTCTCAAGAATTTTGCCAGTGATTCACAGGAGTGACAATGGTCTGTTGTTGCTGATTTTCGCTCTGCTCTTATTGTGAACAGGGACTACAGTTGCCTGTTTCCACAGAGAAGACCCTTTACTTAGTGCTGGGCAGCACTGATAGATGCGAGTTAGAGGTGCTGCTAGCTGGTCTGCACATGTACTCTGCAATCTTGGGCTCAACTTACCTGGGCCCACAGCCTTTTCTTGTTCCAAGGGTTTAAGGAGAAAATACACTTCGTCCTACCTTATTGTCACCACCGACAACTTTGACACAGTTCTTGTGGCTAGTCAAGGAAGTTTTCTTGTTGGATCAAGAATTTACATCTTGGTAGCAAAGTGTTTGGCAGAGGTCAGCTCTCTCCTGATTGCTAGTAGAGACAGTCTCATTCTGCCGATTTAGAGGTGGAGTAATTTCATTAGGTGAATAACCTTGTCAGTCCTTGACCAAGGACCACCAGGTTTTGGAGCCCACTCTCCCTGACACCAGCTTTCTTTTTATGTCAGCCTCCTATCTAGAAATGGCCCACTTTTGGACTTCTTCCATTTGTCAATAGGCTTGTCTGTGCAGGTTCCTGTTATAGATAGTGGGGTACCTCTTCAACCTTCTCCAAGCCTTGTACTTAGCAATAGCAGGTTCTCGACAGTGAAAACTTAACCAAGGCTGATCTGTAGGCTGTCACATACTGCCGGTATTCATACAAGCTCTTGGTTGATGACCGACAATGCTCCCAAGGTCAAAGAATTTAAAAAAAAATCTTATGAAATGATAGAGAACGAAATGATAATGAAACCAAAAGTATGAAATTTGATGGAAAATATACTGAATTACATTACCACAAAGTTAGGGCGTAAAGTTAGCCCACTTTACGCCCTATTTTGGGCCAATTCCATTGTTTCATTCGACCAAACTCATAGCTGTTTTTCTAGAACTCCTTTTAATCTATCGACTAAGTATAAGAATCCACTCATTTATATATTTCAACTACCCAGTAAAGTTATCTGAAATTACCAGTTTTGCCAATTTCACACAAATTTTAAGAAAAAGGCCAGTTTCAAAACAGGGTCCAGAATAAACAATGCAGATATTCCTGGCACTAATATAACATTTTTCTCTGTTCATTAGTCATGTCTCCTGCTCCTCTTATATTATGCTTGCTTTCCATTTTGAATTTTTATTCACACAAAAATATAAGATTTACCGTTATTCAGACTACTACATAATTGTAGTATGTAATCGTATAAATAATATCAGCACATTCGTGAATGCATATTAGACCACCAGCTGACGTGTACTGGGTGCATGACATGATCTGTTTACTCACGAACATTGTCAAAAATTTAACATTTCTGCTACTTTGAGCTCAATTTAAAGCTACTTTTGCTCTGTAAACCATTTAACCTCATGTCAATTTCTGTAATATATCTTCCATTCTATCAAATGAGACCAAGAAAGAGAGAATACAACCATAAATACCATACGAAAATACACCGCAAAGTCACCGTTTTAAACCAAAAATACGGTCACAGTTTTTTCTCATTATGAAGTGTGTGCTGCAGGATTTTTTTATACTGCGCACACTGACCATGCAGACCCATTATCTCATATATCGGCCTACCAGCTCTCTCCTGCAAGATTTAAACCCGCTAGAATTTTGCCTGAGCTCTCCTGACAGGTAAGAGGCAGGTTTCATATACTGTACAGTATTTCAGTTAAAGTTTCTTTTAGTATTCATTTTTACAGTTTTATAGTAGTAGTACATTTTTAATCAATTGTCATTATTCTTTATGGGAAAAATTGCATTGGTTGTCGACCATTTTCATTGTCGAACCGACATCCAGAATTAATTAAGTTCGACAACTGAGGTTGCACTGTGTTAGAACTTGCAGATAGAGTGTTTTGAACTCTCTTTCTCTCTCTCTCATTCTCTCTCTCTCTCATTCTCTCTCTCTCTCATTCTCTCTCTCTCTCTCCACCAGGTCGATTCCCAGTGGTTTTCGCAATTTTAAATGCAAAATTGTATATTTTTATTTGACTGATACCCTCCTCTTCCTTGGATCAAACCTGATTACTTTCCGAGTAACCTGGAAGGGTAATTATGAAGATTAGTTGTTAATGAAGGTAATTTTGTTGTTATTGAAGTTAATTAGATGTTAATTATGTTGACAGCTGAGGGACGGGATGCGGTCAGCCGCGGCGGACAGAACCCACCAGCACCGCAAGTGACACTACCTGGCATTACCCAGGGCAGATGGCAACCTGGTGGCACTGCCACTAGTGCCACTGTGCCGCCCACTATCGCACCCAAACGACCCAATCGTGCCACAGCTGCCGTGGCTGCCACTGCGGCAGTAGCTACCAGCGCCACAAGTGGCAGTGTACCACAGCAGGACGACTACTTGCAATTCGATGAGGTGCCGCAAGCGGTGCCGGGGGTGACAGTGGCCGCAAGCAACCTCTCTGGCACTGAACGAGTCAATCTGGGAGACGGTGAGAGCATTGTTCTTCTTCCTCTCTACAGAACACTGATGGAGCTGCCTTATTTCCACATTATATCACGGGCCAAGTCAAAGAACATTCTACAACAAGGTAAGTGTTAAGAATATTGTAGAACATGGTAAGTGTTTTTAAGAACAGTCTAGAACATTGTGTTATTAAGAACATTCCAGAACATAGTGTTTTTAAGAATATTTTAAAACATTGTTAATGTTATTAGGAATATTTTAGAACATGGTTATGTTAAGAACATTACAGAACAAGTGTTAAAAACACACTAGAACATTATAAGTGTAACACGTACATTTTTGTGTTGCCAGCTGAGGATGGAGTGTTCTTGATCCGTCCGTCAACACGGTCCACGGACCCGCTAACACTATGCCTACGTCACGGCGGACGTACATACAACATCAATATACGTCAGCGACCCGATGGACTCTTCGCTCTGGGCTCCGAAAAGATCAATGAACTGGTTTGTGATTACTGACCTTTGTAAAGATCTGCCTAATATACATCAGTAGACTTTGAACCCCCATTAACCAGTCTTAATGACCCTCATGTAGTAGATAGACTTTAAACCCCCATTAACCAACCAACCAGTCTTAATGGCCCACATGTAGTAGATAGACTTCAAACCCCCCATTAACCAACCAACCAGTCTTAATGACCCTCGTGTAGACTTTAAACCCCCATTAATTAACCAACCAGTCTTAATGACCCTTGTGTAGTAGATAGACTTTAAAACCTCATTAACCCACCAACCACTAATTAGTCTAAAGATAGACAATCCAAATAATTTTTTTTCGTGAAAGAGCCTCAAAATCCTCTCAATGTATGCCATATTTCTGACATAACCCTAACTCTACTAGACTTTGAGAAAGCCATTGAGAAAGCCATGCACTCAGCCCCAGGCCCAGAATTGTGGAACTCTGTGTTCATTAAGAACTGCAAGAAACCCCTCTTGCATGCCCTAAGTATACTGTGGAGGAGCATAGACACAGGTGAGATTCCATAGTTGCTAAAAACAACAGATATAGCCCCACTTCATAGAGGTGGATGCAAAGCAATAGCTAAGAATTATAGACCAATAGCTTTAATAGCCCACATCATAAAAATCTTTGAAAGAGTACTAAGAAGCAGGATTGCAAACCATATGGACTCTCAACAGTTGCACAATCCAGAGCAACATGGGTTCAGAGAAGGTCACTCCTGCCTCCTATGGTCTTGGATGCACTGGAAAACAGACTGCAGATGTGGGTTACATAGATTTTGCAAAAGCCTTTGACAAGTGCATTCATGGTGTAATAGCACACAAAATGCATGCTAAAGGAATAACTGACAAAGTGGGCAGATGGATCCTCATCTTTCTAGCCAACTGAACACAAAGACTAGTGGTAAACAGAGTTAAATCGGAAGCTGCCATAGTGAAGAACTCTGTTCCACAAGGCACAGTACTCACCCCCATATTGTTCCTCATCCTCATATCAGACATAGACAGAGATGTAAACCATAGCACCATATTCTTTGCAGACGATACTAGGATCTGCATGAGAGTGTCATCCATTGAGGACATGGTGAATCTCCAAGATGATATAAACCAAGTTTTCCAATGGGCAACAGAGAACAATATGATGTTCAATGAAGACAAATTCCAACTACTCCGTTATGGAAAACTGGAGGAGATAATAACTAGAACTGAGCATGCTACAAACTTTGATCATGCAATAGAACAGAAAAGTAATGTGAAGGACCTGGGAGTGGTAATGTCAAGGATCGCAGCAGTGCCACTATCACATCTGCGAGGAAACTGATAGGATGGATAATGAGAACATTCAAGACAAGATGCCAAACCAATGATGATCCTTTTTAAATCACTTGTTCTTCATAGGCTGGAATACTGCTGTACATTAACATCCCCATTCAAGGGAGGTGAAATTGCAGATCTAGAGAATGTACAGAGAACCTTTACTGAACACATAAGTTCCATCAAACACCTTAACTACTGGGAACACTTGGAAGCACTTGACTTGTACTCACTGGAGCACAGGTGAGAGAGGTACATCATAATCTACACCTGGAAAATCCTAGAGGGACTGGTCCCTAATCTGCACACAAAAATCACTCCCTACATAAGCAAAAGACTGGGGAGGCGATGCAACATACCCCCAATGAAAAGTAGGGGCGCCCTTAGTACACTAAGAAAAAATAACAAGTGTCCAAGGCCCAAGACTGTTAAATAGCCTCCCACCAGCCATAAGGGGAATTACCAATAGACCCCTGGTTGTCTTCAAGAAGGAGCTGGACAGATACCTAAAGTCAGTACTAGATCAGCCGGGCTGTGGTTCGTACATTGGACTATGTGCAGCCAGCAGTAAGAGCTTCGTTGATCAGGCCCTGATCCACCGAGAGGCCTGGGCATGGACCAGGCCACGGGGACATTGATCCCCAGAATACCCTCTAGGTAGAACAGTTTTAATGACCCTGGTGTAGTAGATGGGCTTTAAACCACATTAACTAACCAACCAGTCTTAATGACCCTGGTGTAGTAGATTGACTTTAAACCCCATTAACCAACCAACCAACCAGTCTTGATGACCCTCATGTAGTAGATAGACTTTAAACCCCATTAACCAACCAATCAGTCTTAACGATCCTGGTCTCCCCTACAGACCTTCTCAGCGGTACAGGAGATCGTCAGCACACACAGTCGTGAGCCAATCAAACTTCAGAACGGTGAACGAGCCTTACTGATGCAGTCACCACAGAAATCTGACCACATCTATGTTCAAATCACCAACACCTTCAGAAAAGTTCAGTTATGAGCCTTAACCCTTTCAAAGTGCACACCAGTGTCCAAGATTTTTCAAAAAATAATTTTGTTATTTTTTCTTATGAAATGGTAGAGAATCTTTTTTCTGAAGGTAATAAAACAACAAGTATGAAATTTGATGGAAAATTGACAAAATTATGCTCTTGCTAATTTTGATGTGTTAGTGATATTTACGCATTGGCGATTTTGCCGAATTGACTCCCATTTTAGGCCAATTACATTATTCCAGTCGACCAAATTCTTAGCTATTTCACTAGTATTACTTCTATTCTATTGACTGAGCACAAGAAATTACCAACTGAACTGTTTCAACTGCAAAATAAAGTGATCGGAAATTGGTAATTTGGCCAATTTAACACAAAGTTCAAAATATTCCAATTTCAAAATAGGGTCCAGAATAAACAATGTAGGTATTCCTGGCACTAAACTAACATTTCCTCTGTTCATTAGTTACGTTTTGAGGCTTTACAAATAGACTCCATTTTGATTTTTAATTCACATAATGAATTTTTATTCACACTAAAAAATAGAAGATTTACTGTTATGCAATATTGTAATAATTATATAAATATCATCACCAAATTTGTGAATGTATATTAGACCCACCAGCTGGTGTGTATTAGACGTGTGAGGTCGTTTGTTTACTCTTGAGCATCAGCAAAAATTTAACATTTCTGCTACTTTGAGCTCAGTTTCAAGCCATTTTCGGTACAAAAACCAATCAAAATTATCTCTATTTCTGTAATATATCTTCCATTCTATCAAATGAGACCAAGAAATCGCAAATACAACTATAAAAAACATACGGAAAACACTGCAAAGTTGCTGTTTTAATAGAAAATTACGGCTCAGTTATTTTTATCTCATTATACACAGTGTGCTGCAGGATTTGTTTTATGTGGTGCACACATACCACATAGATATATTCTCTCATATCTAGGCCCAAATTTACCGCTCACGGCTTACCAGAGTGAGCTGAGCTCATGGCGTAAATCTACGGTTTGGACCCTCAACGTAAAGCCGTAGATCTACAGGACGGACCCTGAAAGGGTTAAAGCTCATTGTAACTATAAAACTTCTCTATGTACATTTATAAAAGTCTTGTGTATACAGTCAGCCGTCATATAAAGCTCCTCGAGACTTAGGAGCAATATAAAAGAACTATACATGTATTGTGACCATTGTAATAAGCTTCTGTATCCTCGGGTCAAGAGCGCATTGTCACTTGTTACTGCTTGCACTGCTTTACATTGCTCTAGACCAGTATGGGCATCAGATCTGTTTATATATTATTATATACATATATATATAATATATATATTTATATATAATATATATATTTATATATATATATATATTATATATTTTATATATATATATATAAAAATAGTTATACACATTGTTTATATATATTTATATATAATTGTTATGTTTAAGGTTAGTGCTAAAATAATAAGGGTCATGTAGCTGGTGGTTTGATCCAAGGAAAGTGGTTCTCAGGTGGTCAGTCTCTCAATATTGACTGAGGGACTGACCACCTACTATCACCACTGAGGGACTGACCACCTACTATCACCACTGAGGGACTGACCACCTACTATCACCACTGAGGGACTGACCACCTACTATCACCACTGAGGGACTGACCACCTACTATCACCACTGAGGACTGACCACCTACTACACCAAACTGAGGGACGACCACCAAAAAAACACCACTGAGGAACTGACCACTTACTATCACCACTGAGGGACTGACCACCTACTATCCCCACTGAGGAACTGACCACCTACTATCACCACTGAGGAACTGACCACCTACTATCACCACTGAGGAACTGACCACCTACTATCACCACTGAGGGACTGACCACCTACTATCACCACTGAGGGACTGACCACCTACTATCACCACTGAGGAACTGACCACCTACTATCACCCCTGAGGGACTGACCACCTACTATCACCAATGAGGGACTGACCACCTACTATCATCACTGAGGGACTGACCACCTACTATCACCACTGAGGGATTGACCACCTACTATCACCACTGAGGGATTGACCTCCTACCATTACCACTGACTGACTGACTACCTACTATCACCACTGAGGGACTTACTACCTACTATCACCACCGAGGGACTGACTACCTACTATCACCACTGATGGACTGACTACCTACTATCACCACCGAGGGACTGACTACCTACTATCACCACTGAGATACTGACCACCTACTATCACCACTGAGGGGCTGACTACCTACTATCACCACTGAGGGGCTGACTACCTACTGTCACTACTGAGGGACTGACTACCTACTATCACCACTGATGGACTGACTACCTACTATCACCACCGAGGGACTGATTACCTACTGTCACCACCGAGGGACTGACTACCTACTGTCACCACCGAGGAACTGACTACCTACTATCACCACTGACGGACTGACTAACTACTATCAAAACTGAGGGACTGACTGCCTACTATCACCACTGAGGGACTGACTACCTACTATCAACACTGAGATACTGACCACCTACTATCACCACTGAGGGACTGACCACCTACTATCACTACTGAGGGACTGACCACCTACTATCATCACTGAGGGACTGACCACATACTCTCACCACTGAGGGACTGACTACCTACTATCACCACTGAGGGACTGACCACCTACTCTCACCACTGAGGGACGACTACCTACATCACCACTGAGGGACTGACCACCTACTCTCACCACTGAGGGACTGACTACCTACTATCACCTCTGAGGGACTGACTACCTACTATCACTACTGAGGGACTGACCACCTACTCTCACCACTGAGGGACTGACTACCTACTATCACCACTGAGGGACTGACCACATCCCTCCACCACGAGGAATGACTACCTACTATCACCACTGAGGGGACTGACTACCTACTATCACCACTGAGGGACTGACCACCTACTCTCACCACTGAGGGACTGACTACCTACTATCACCACTGAGGGACTGACCACCTACTCTCACCACTGAGGGACTGACTACCTACTATCACCTCTGAGGGACTGACTACCTACTACCCACTACTGAGGACTGACCACCTACTCTCACCACTGAGGGACTGACTACCTACTATCACCACTGAGGGACTGACCACCTACTCTCACCACTGAGGGACTGACTACCTACTATCACCACTGAGGGACTGACCACCTACTCTCACCACTGAGGGACTGACCACCTACTCTCACCACTGAGGGACTGACTACCTACTATCACCACTGAGGGACTGACTACCTCCTCTCACCACTGAGGGACTGACTACCTACTATCACCACTGAGGGACTGACTACCTACTCTCACCACTGAGGGACTGACTACTTATTATCAACACTGAGGGACTGACTACCTATTATCAACACTGAGGGACTGACTACCTACTATCACCACTGAGGGACTGACTACATACTATCACCACTGAGGGACTGACTACCCACTATCAACACTGAGGGACTGACTACCTACTATCAACACTGAGGGACTGGCTACCCACTATCAAGACTGAGGGACTGACTACCCACTATCAGCACTATGGGACCGACTACCCACTATCAACACTGAGGGACTGGCTACCCACTATCAACACTGAGGGACTGACTATCTACTATCACCCCTGAGGGACTGACTACCCACTATCAACACTGAGGGACTGACTACCCACTATCACCACTGAGGGACTGACTACCCACTATCACCACTGAGGGACTGACTACCCACAATCACCACGAGGGACTGACTCCCCACTATAAACACTGAGGACTGACTCCCCACTATCAACACTGAGGGACTGACAACCCACTAACAACACTGAGGGACTGACTACCCACTATCAACACTGAGGGACTGACTACCCACTATCAACACTGAGGGACTGACTACCTACTATCAACACTGAGGGACTGACTACCCACTATCAACACTGAGGGACTGACTACCCACTATCACCACTGAGGGACTGACTACCCACTATCAACACTGAGGGACTGACTACCCACTATCAACACTGAGGGACTGACTACCCACTATCAACACTGAGGGACTGACTACCCACTATCAATGCTGTCACTTACTGAACAGATCAAGCATTGCCATAGCCTCTACTGCATCAAATCCACTTCCTTGGATCAAGATCCCTGGCAGGTTGAAGGTGGTTCTCTTAAGCCTGATTATTATAACAGTCGTTGTTAACAGTAAACACTGGAACTATATTACTAGTGTGTTTGATCCTTCCCTTGAGGTCCTCTTCAGTAGATTATAATATTGTACACAGTCTTGGTGTGGGAAGATATAGTCTGGTATATAACACAGTGTACACAGTCTTGGTGTGGGAAGATATAGTCTGGTATATAACACAGTGTACACAGTCTTGGTGTGGGAAGATATAGTCTGGTATATAACACAGTGTACACAGTCTTGGTGTGGGAAGATATAGTCTGGTATATAACACAGTGTACACAGTCTTGGTGTGGGAAGGTAAGTCGGTATATAACACAGTGTACACAGTCTTGGTGTGGGAAGGTATAGTCTGGTATATAACACAGTGTACACAGTCTTGGTGTAGGAAGATATAGTCTGGTATATAACACAGTTGTAGATGAATGGTCCAGAGAACCAACATGTTGTTGAATTCGACACATGTGCAACTCTTGGGTATCTTTATTGAGGAAACGTTTTGCCACACAGTGGCTTCATCAGTCCATACAAAGGAGAAACTTGAAGAACAGGAGGAGAATGAGGTAATCAGTCCCTCAGCCTTGAGTTGATGTGGTCAGTCCATCAATCTTGAATAGAATATGGCATATGAGCGGAGAAGCAGCTTATAAACCGTAGACAGGTGAGGGGCAGCAGTCATAGGTGGTGTCACATTTGTCCAATGTGGAAGTAGGTCGTGCCCAAGGGTTAGGGAATTCTTCACTTGCCTAACCCTTGGGCACGACCTACTTCCACATTGGACAAATGTGACACCACCTACGACTGCTGCCCCTCACCTGTCTACGGTTTATAAGCTGCTTCTCCGCTCATATGCCGTATTCTATTCAAGATTGATGGACTGACCACATCGACTCAAGGCTGAGGGACTGATTACCTCATTCTCCTCCTGTTCTTCAAGTTTCTCCTTTGTATGGACTGATGAAGCCACTGTGTGGCAAAACGTTTCCTCAATAAAGATACCCAAGAGTTGCACATGTGTCTAATTCAACATATAACACAGTGTACACAGTCTTTGTGTGGGAAGGTATAGTCTAGTATATAACACAGTGTACACAGTCTTGGTGTGGGAGGGTATAGTCTGGTATATAACACAGTGTACACAGTCTTGGTGTGGGAAGATATAGTCTGGTATATAACACAGTGTACACAGTCTTGGTGTGGGAAGATATAATCTGGTATATAACACAGTGTACACAGTCTTGGTGTGGGAAGATATAGTCTGGTATATAACACAGTGTACACAGTCTTGGTGTGGGAAGATATAGTCTGGTATATAACACAGTGTACACAGTCTTGGTGTGGGGAAAATATAGTCTGGTATAAACACAGTGTACACATCTTTGGGGTGGGAAGATATAGTCTGGTATATAACCTCCACACAGCACACACACACTGAAGTATTCTGAGAAATATTCATCAGTGGCTGTAGCTCACTTATGGCCACTGAAAAAACAAATACATTGAGGAAGTTACAGGTTAATCACACTAATTTATTCAAACAACAGTAGATAAGTCTACTCTGTAACATTTTTCTTAAGCCACACTGAAACTGCTGATGGATAAAGTCATGTGAAGCAACACACATGAAATACAAGTGTTCCGTGCTTTAAGCAATGAATGTGTTCTTGCACTGTGGCACATAAAGTGAAGCTTTTATAACAACAATGATAGTGTAACAATGTTGGTAGAATTACCAACAATATGTAAAGTAAAAGGACACAAGTGCAACTAATGTGACATTTTTATTGTGGCAATGTTTTGCTCTCCAGGAGCTTTGTCAAGAGCAAAACATTGCCACAATAAAAATGTCACATTAGTTGCACTTGTGTCCTCTTACTTTACATATTGTCGGTAATTCTACCAACATTATTACAATCTGTCGGACACTGCAACATAATGGACATTTCATGCAGACGTTATTTTGACGGTAGCAGCTTGACAAAGCTCCTGGAGAGCGAAACATTGACACAATAAAAATGTCACATTAGTTGCACTTGTGTCCTTTTACTT